ATATATAAATAAACACCTAATAATTATAAATTATACCCGCATTTTTTTTGCATTACATTAAGACATATTTACTTTGTCAAAACGAGTTTAATTCAGATTAGACTGAGGAGCTAACGCCTAGTCTTAGTTAGACTTAGGTCAAGGTCAAGGCTTCTTTATTGTCATACGCACCACATGTGGTACATGTGGTGGAACGAAATTGTGTACACAGGGTCCCAGTTACATCCAACACAGTATAAATTGTAAATAAAAACAGTAGTATGATCAAAGACTCCCATCAGCCAACAAGGACCGAAAGGACTCCAGAAATTTCCACTTGGTGCATTACGACCAGAATAAAATGTAACTTGCCTTTTTAAAACCACCCCGGTTTGTCCTGACCTTTTCTGTCCGTGAAGGCTTTAAAATCCAAAGGGCAGCTTAAAATTTAAACACTTAATCCAGTATTTAAAATTTAAAAGATACATTATTTATGATTTTTTATGATTATTTTTGGGGCAGCACGGTGGCGCAACTGGTAGAGCTGCTGCCTCTCAGTGAGCAGGTCCTTGGTTCAAACCCCGGTCCAGGGGCCTTTCTGGGTGGAGTTTGCATGTTCTCTCTGTGCATGCGTGGGTTTTTCGTTTGTCTCTATGTGGCCCTGTGATGGACTTGCAACCCGTCCAGGGTGTACCCCGCCCCTCGCACAGTGATTGCTGGATATGGGCACCAGCGACCCCCCGTGACCCAAAATGGAATAAGCAGGTAAAGATAATGGATGGATGGTTATTTTTGCATATTTACAGTTGTAAGGATAGGCCAAGTGTCGCCAGTTGTGATTGTTTATGCAACGTCTGACTCATCAAACTATCCTATCTGCCTCATGTATTCTGAAGAAATTATTTCCTCCTGTTGTCATTCTGAAAATTAAAAGTATACAGCCCAGAGCTACAGACCGCTGTAAGGACTGACAGCTAACAGGAACAGTGGACACAGCTGAGTGCGTTACAGGGAAAACAAAACATCTGTTTGGCTGAAAAAAAAAAAACTGTACGGTGTTACTTAAATAAAAGCTGATTTCTGGATGTTTTATGATTTCAATTTGAGCTGAAAGGTCTGTGAAGTGCAGGTGTTGCTGGAGACCTCAAAGAACAGAAACTGATTATAAATAAGAGTGAAATGTTCTGTCCTTATCACAACATTTACTCCAGAATACACTAACTAAAACTATAAATAGATCTGATGCATTTTCAAAAGAGATCTGTAAACTCTGTTTACAGACAAAGAGCGATTCCAAAGACTCAAATGGACAGAAAACATCAAGGAACTTGGTGTCCCTTGCCCTGACGTGGGTTACCGGGGCCCCACCTTAGAGCCAGGCCTGGGGTAGG